CGAAGGCCAGATTCGTCAGCCGATTACGTCACAGCGCGGCGCCGAGGCCTGTTCAGATTGAAAGACTCTTCGTTATGCGGCCGAAGGAAGCAGCCATCTTTTTGCCCGTTTTGAAGCACAGGTCCGCATGAAAATCTCAATTTATCCATTACTTTCTCATTAAGCGATCCCTGAATTTCTTCTTCTTCAGTGTCCGACCTGAACAGTCAGGCTAATGCGGGATCCAACATCTCGTCTCGTCAAAGTTGTCATTATTCGAGTCACTGTTATAGTTTCCCATCTTGTTGATACCAGATGGATGACGGGAGTTCAGTCATTTTCAAAATAAACTTTTTTTTTCCTTCGTTTTGGATTTTTTTAAATCTATCTGGTCAGAAAGAAATGAGCTTTGAACCGACTCAAATTTTTAAGCATTTCTAACAATATGATAAACTGTGTAAACTTTAGCTCACATTAATGAGTCGCAAATGAAAAGTTTAGTTTTTTCCAAGTGAGGAAAAGTCCGGGTGTTTCCTCTGTCTCTGCTCTTTAGGTGAACCTCTCCTGCTGGTTTCTAAGCTGCTCTGATCAGAACCGATATGCGTCCGGTTCTGTTACAGGAAAATACTTGTTTTACTTTGAGGAGATGAACAATCACATCGTTTTTCAGTTTAATTCTATTCAGTTTATTTCTATAGCTCCAATTCACATCATGTCATCTCAGGTCACTTTCCAGTTCACCAGATCATCCAGTCAGATTGATTCATAGTTTTCTATCTAAGGAAAACCAGCTGATTGCATTGCGAAGTGTGAGCTTTCTCAGGACATTAGAAAGAAAACGATAGAGCAGCATATTAAAGGAAAATGCTACCAGACCATCTCCAAGCAGCTGATGTCCCTGTGACCTCAGCTGAACATATTATTCAGAAATTGAAGATCCATGGACTGTAGCCAACCTCGCTGGACGTCGCTACGGGAGGAAAACTGATGAGGAATCAAAGAGACTGATAACAGGAATGGAAACAAGAGTCCAGAAAAACTTCAAGAGATTAAAGATGAACGTGAAGCTGAAGGATCGCAGCACCCATTGCTGTTTGAGCCAAAGTGGACTTAAAACGACCAATCAGGAACCATCGATGGAAACAAATCATAAAAAAATGAAGATTGGAATTAACCAAACTACATGTTTAAATGAAGCAAAGCTTCTCTGAGAACATCTCTGCACAGTGGAGACAAACATGGAGCTTTATGCCAAGAAACATCAGCTCTATGTTCACAGGCAGAAAAACAAACATGCAGAGAAGACTGTCCCTGCTGTGAAACATGGAGGAGGCTGTGTTATGCTATGGGCTCAGGGCAGGGTCCAGTGAAATCTCCAACCTATCAGGGATCATAGAGATAAATGTGCTGCATGATCAGATGGCTGGGCTTAGTGGCAGGTCATGAAGCTTTAAAATACGGAGCCTGAGAGGAAAAGGTTGGACTGTTGTGGAGGGGCCCCTAGGAGCCCTGACCTCCATCCTACTGAGCATCTTTGGAAGGAGCTGAAACAGGAAACCTGGAGCAGTTTGCTGATGAGGAGCAGCGGTCTGACTGACAGGAACAAGAACTGATTGACTGCAGGGATTTTTATTTATTTAATTTTTTTATTTTGTTGAAGCCTGGCTGAAAATAATGTCTGACTTTCAATTTTTCATTTTCATTCAATTTTTTCTTAATAATCACTTTTTTTTCAGATTGAAGTTATCTCTGTGACCAACACTAAATGAACCAAATTTAACACGTGTAACTCCTAAACATCCTGTAATTCCTTTATATCAGCAGATTATAATAGAATGAATTAATTACATCTAATCAATTAGTTTATTTAATCAAACCAGTCCAGATTAAAATCTCCCATCATGAAGGTCTGGTTTGAGAGGCGGATCTTGTTCCTGCCTCTCGGACCCCTGAGCTCTTTGGCTGTGGAACCTGTTACAACACGGAGAATGAATGTGCTTCGGGTCGCAGCGGGCCGACATGTGAGCGTGTCTAGCAAATAGACACGTCTAAAAACAGAGCCTCTCATTACCAACAGGCTCGTCTCTCAGCGGGCTGGGGGACATTCCCTCACCCTCCGCCCTCAGAGACAGACGGTTCCTCGAGGGTCTCCAAAGCGTCGGCCACTAATGAACGGAAACATCAGCCGGGCCGCCGCCCGGGCTTAGGCGGTTCTGGCAGGGAGCTGAAAGATGAATGAGATGCTGCTCGTTATGAGGAGGGCAGAAGTGGATCCTGTTGACCGGATGAAAGAAAACTTCTTCAGAACATGTGGAGGAAGATCGGTCAGAACCAAACAGGCTCAGCAGAGCTCTAGCATCACAGTTTAGAGGAATTCATCTCCACTCATCTTCCATCATCTCTGACCTGCTGCCCTGTCCCATAGCATGATGCCACCACCATGCTTCCCTTCTAAGATGTTTTGTTTCCTGTGAGAGGTAGACCAAGCCGTTCCGTTCATGTCTCCTCTGATCCAGGTCCTGGTGGGTCTTCAGTTGGTCCATCCTCTCCATGTTCAGAGCTCTGGGAGATGTTCTAGAACCTAACCCTGCTTAAACACAACAAGAACCTCCTCCCTGACTGCCTGTCAGGTCCTGGACTTGATGGTGCTGACATAGAACTGGACTCTGGTTCTGAATCAGGAGGTTTCTGGAGTCAGTTTGCTGACTGGACTTCTTTTAGGAATACCAGAGTAGAGAGGGCTGAATGCAAGCCCGCTGCTCAGGTGTCTGGTGTGTCCAGTTTATGGCGTTAATGGGACAAGATCTGGGAAAGTTCTAGATAGAACCGCTTTGATGTCGGGAGGAATGGTTCTGTCCAAGTCCAGAGACAAAAGTTGGTCAAGAACTGCCGAATTTCAAAGGTTAAACCAGGCGCTGGTCGATCCGCCCTGCAGAACACACACTCATCGACTGACTCCGCCCCCTGGTGGTTCTGAGGGGTACCTTCACCTGGTGGGGCCAAAACGCAACAGCTCCTTTTTATTGTTTGATCCAACAGAACATCTGGTTGAATAAGATAGAGCTCTTTAGAGAACCGGTGATTCTTCACGACTTCCTCTGGACCGCGGTTCTGTTTTGGTCAGACCTGAGCAGCAAGTCCATTAGTTTTACGGGATCATCACCTCTAGTCCAAATGTTTAGCAGAAACCGCACCGAGGCGTGTAGGTAGTTCCATATGTTTAGTTGGTGGAGATGTTCTGATCTATCATCTGGTGGTTCAGGATATGTCAGGTTGGTGAGAATGAAGTTGGTAGTAATGAGACCAAAACTTCTCCTGGTGTCTTTCTTAAAATCAGCAGGAACAACATCTGGGCGGGTTCTGTAGATTTAAGGACAGAGTTGGACTGAAGACGCCTTCAGGGCTCTGGCTCTGGTTCAGTTAGAGGTAGTGTCAACCATTTAGAACAGAGGACTCAGTATTCAGTCAAGACAAACAATGGGATTATTCAAACATTCAGAAAAAACCTTTCAGACGGTTTGCCTGAACAGGCAGGCTCAGTGGTTGAGAGGCAGAACAGGTCAGGATCAGAGGATCAGGGAATCAGAAACACCAAGGAACTCTAGAAACACTATCACCACTGGCCAGCAAGAACAAAATCATCTGGCTTGATGACTTGATGCAAGCAGCTTAAATAGCGGCAGCAGGTGGATCAGATAAGCTGTGATGAGAAACCAGGCAGAGTCAGACAGGTGAATGAAATATGTAATTAAGCCAACCATCAGCGCCAAGATCATGACAGGTAAACGTGGAGATGGAGAAACGTCCGTGAAAGTCCAGCTGCAGACATGTACTGTCAGGACAGGAAGTTTATTTGAAGCCTTTCAAAATAAAAGCAAAATAAAATTAAAGCGGGAGTCACAAATGAAACATGCTTCTGTAAGAGAAAGATAATGTTGTAATAAGTAAAAGAAACTCACCCAAAAATGATGATAAAACAGGGATCTTCAGGTTTCAGTGAGCGCTTACCTCGCAAAAAATATGTCTTCTTCTTCTAATAAAGTCCGTCAGCTCATACGTGCTGCTCGCTGTTCCTGAAGGCTTTGGATAAAACGTCCAGATTAAACTTTGGGTCCTCAAAGTGCAGGTCTGCAACCAGACCCCTCTCGAAACATCTGGAAGTAGACAGAACCTTCTGGTGCTCCAGATGTTAGTCC